GGGTGGCGGCGGCGCGGAGGGGTCCCGGCGGCCGCGGGGCCTCTCAGGCGGCAGAGGGGGACGGGACGGGGCCGCGGGGCTCCCCTCAGCCCCGGGCGGATCCGGGCTCCCCGGCATGGCTCTGCCAGCGGAGGTGAACTCAAACAACAGCGATATTGTTGGGGTTTTTTTTAAGTTTTTTAAAGTTTTGGGTAATTTTGGATGAAAAATACTGTACAGCAGTGCCGAAAGTGCTTCTTGCGCTACCTCTTCTTCCTAAAATAACTGTGTGGTGCGTGCTTTTGTCCCACTAGACAATGAATGACTGGGCCCCCATCGCGAAGGAGTATGACCCCCTCAAAGCCGGCAGCATTGATGGCACAGACGAAGAGCCCCACGACCGTGCCATATGGAGGGCTATGCTGGCACGCTACGTACCCAACAAGGGAGTCACAGGAGATCCTCACCTCACCCTGTTCGTGGCAAGGCTCAATCTTCAGACAACAGAAGAGAAGTTAAAGGAGGTCTTTTCCCGGTATGGAGACATCAGAAAGATCCGTCTGGTTCGAGACCTGGTCACAGGATTTTCCAAGGGTTACGCGTTTATTGAGTACAAAGAGGAGCGTGCTCTCTTGAAGGCCCACAGAGATGCCAACAGGTTGGTTATTGATCAGCACGAGATCTTTGTGGACTTTGAACTGGAGAGAACTCTCAAAGGATGGATTCCTCGGAGGCTTGGAGGTGGTTTTGGAGGCAAAAAAGAATCTGGGCAGCTACGGTTTGGAGGACGGGACAGACCTTTCCGAAAGCCCATTAATTTGCCAAACATGAAAAATGATTTCTATGGAGAAGGATCAGCAGAGAAAAGAAACTGGTCTCGTGAAGGAACAAGGGACTGGAGAACAAGGGACCGAGACCATGAAAGGAGCAGAGACAAGCGATGGCCAGAACGGGAGCGGTCGTGGGCTTGGGGTGAAAGTGAGAGAGAAAGGGACTCCAAAGAGGAGAGGAGCAGAGGGAGGGAGAGGAAGGACAGAGACAGGAAGGACAGGGATAGAGACCGGAGCAGGGAAAGAGAGAGCAAGAAACAAAGAGAGGATGATAAGCATCGGTAGGTGAGGGTGCCTTGTCGTTGGGGTATGGTGTCTGCTCTCACATCCACGTTGCAGTTGCAGACATCGGCTGGGGCTGTGAGCAGCGTTCCCTGAACACAGCGCTGTGCTATTGCCGTCTTGTGCCTGTGACTCTCGCCTGCTAGAAGCTCTCTGTACTTCGGTTGCTAATGCAGTTAAGATACGCGTTGAATTGTTTTTCAGAGAAAATAAACTTTTGTATTAACATTTTTGAACTGGTGAATGCTGTAAGAGCCACACCACATGTACGAGCGTCCCACTGAGACCGAGTACGCACCTCGTTAGGTACCCATCTGGCTGCCTGGGTTAGGGTTCATGAGAGAGCTCCGTATTTAATTATGTGCCAGATGTCCATGCTAATTTAGTGAGACAGATACCCTTTATGAAATAGTCACTTGATGAAGAAATAGTAATGGAATAGCAGCAAACTAAGCTTCTGAAAAATGTGCCCCAACACAGAAGCTGATGGGAAGTGACTTTTTTTTCTTGAAGATGGTGGGACAGGTGAGGTCTTTAGTAATGCTGTGGCCTTAAGTACTTCTGCAATGGTGTCACGGTTAAATGTGGTTGCAGCTGCACCCACTCTGTCCTCGCTTCTTCTCTGTGAGTGAGGTCCTGCCTGCACAAGGTTTAAATCCCTTTCTGGAACGTGGGCTTGCTGCTGGTTGGACCTGAATTGGGGGAAACAGAGGCCAAAGCAGCTCCTTTCTCCTCTTTTCAGAGCCAGGATGTGCATGTACAGACACACATCTTCCCTTGAGAAGCTTACACAGTTTTCTAGAAAAGGCTCTGTCACGTTCTTTGTCATCATAGGCAATTCCTAAATGTTTGCTAATGTATTTAAGACTATTTTTTTTTTTTATCAGCCTTTGAATGGCTCTATCCTAAACCTTGCCCCGTTTGAGGCTTGATTTCCACGAAGAGTTGGATGAGCCTTTTTCGGGGCAAAGAAGACAGACCCATATGCTGCCTCCCCAAGAAGAGATGGTATCAGTTTTCCACAAAGAAAAGGACACGAGTCTTGCAGAAATACTTGTTTTTCAGAAATATTTATTAAACTGTTAAAATGATTTACTGCCCAACGAAAAAAAAAAAGAAAAAAAAAAACAACCCAGAAAAACGTCAGCGATCCTGCACTTTGCAGACAGGATTGTTATGCCCTTTACCTGACAACATCCTGGCCCCTTTTCTAAAAGCAGATTTTTATTTGAATATTGAGAAACAATACGTAACAGATCCTCAAATCTTTACATACTCTTCCCTATGCGCCATCTGTTTCAATGGCACTTGGAGTGTATAAACTCAGCGTTTCTGGCATGAGAATGAGGAACGAAGTGGTTAATGCTTAGCAGGTCAGGAGTAACTAATTAGATTTTTGAGGTAATGGGCTACAGAGATGAGCGGGGGAAGGTTTACTGCTTAGTGCCATTGTTGGAGTCGGCTGCAGATTTCACCCGACAATGGTGAAACACTGGGTCTGGCGTATGACGAGCTTTACGTGCACTAGACCAGGAGATGTCCTTTGTGATACACCAGCTTAGGAGCTGGGGCAGACAGTGTGGTCTGTGTGTTTCTATTATCCCTGCTCACTGCTCTCAGCTGATTTCAGAAGTGATGTGCTTATTCAGGCCGTGCATCCGCTGCATTCTTGCATTGTTTCTGATCACTGCATCTCTTCTAAACGTGCCAAACAACTGCAACCTATGCTAAGGAGAGACTCCATGGGCATCATTCACAATTTACTTTAACTGCCTGATACAACTGTAGTGTACTTTTTTTTTTTTCTAATATGGAAGTGAAATTGAGATCTTAGCAACTTAAGTATCATTAAATGAAGACGTTCTGTCCCCCATTTAAGAATTGCTTTTCACACAAGGGGGAAAGTGCTGCTGTTTTACGGATACAGCTTTCTGTAAGCATAGAAGTTAAAGATATGTTACCAAAACGTAACCAGGCAAAAGCATATCTGCCTAATACTGGCATCAGACACTACCGTCACTATTTCAAATGCAAATGTCTTTCATGTAAGGCCACATAACCCCACCCCCCCACCCCGAACTGCAGTGACACCAGGGAGGCACAGTAAACACTTTACCTACAGCACACGGGAAGTCCACATTCGAAACATGGCACAGCTACAGTTGGGAGCACAGCAGCATTCAGCTCATCACACCAGAAATAGTTCCCTGGCAGTTTCCTTATAGAAGGGCCAAGAACCATTTCTGCCCATACACGTTAAAGAATCCACAGTGTCTTGGATCACCCTGTATTAAAACCGACTGCACTAAACCCTCTGGCTCCCTCTCACCTGGGAGCGCGTTGAGGCACCCTCCTACATTCAGTACCTGGAGCAGCTGGAGCTTTACTCCAGCCTGAGCACTGTTTCCCGTTCCTAGTGCCACTCCTGAGAAGATGCTCTTTACCGAGCAGATGTTGGTGCAGGGGTAAGGTGCCGAAGATGCTCTTTACCGAGCAGATGTTGGTGCTGGGGTAAGGTGCCAGCAGCAGCTGACAGCCCCCTGCACTAAGCTACATGTGCAGAAGCTCCCTGCAGCGTTGTCGCTGCGGGCGCGCTCCCCTCTCCCGCTTGGTCAGGTGCCTTTGCGGAGCGTGTGGTGCAGCAGCAGGGTGGGCGCTGAGACCGGGCTGTAGGCAACAGTTATGCTGCACGGGGCTGTAGTGTCACGGGTTTTGTGAGTACAGCTGAGGTCTCACGAGCTCAGTTGCACAGCAGATCTAAATCCCCCCTCCTGGCAGCTCGGCTGTGCGGGGCTTTTACTGGCAAGTGAAGCCCCTGTAACTGCAGGCTACCCAAACATCAACCCGGGGAGCAGCCTGCGCGTACAGAATTCATCCGCTCTGCCCAAGTAGTGTTGAGACTAGTCAGAGAAAACGCCATCTCTGAGTCTGTTAAAATGGTTTATGTCAGCTAGTTGAGGATGTCTTTCACTCTGAAGTTAGGCAGTCTTACCTAGACAGAAAATTGGAGTGTGACTTACTTAAAAACCTGTCTGTGGGAAAGAGACCTAATTCTTTTAGAGCAGCTGTCTGCTACTCTAGGGGGAAGGCCCTGGTAAGACGGAAAAAATTCAAGCGTTAAGAATTCCTCCTTGTAAGCAATTTGTTTCCCATTAATCCTGCAGAACTCATGGCAAAACGCAAGGCACGCTCACCTCATACATGGGTTTCTTCATGCTTTAGGCACTATAAGCAGCAAGGGAAACGTACACTCACTATCCCTCTCAAGGCTACTCCAGTTTATCAGTTTGGATCAGGTGGACTTCCAAGGGGTTACTCTGCAAAACGCAGATGCCAGCTGAACTTGACAGGACACGGCAGTGCTAAGACCTGCCATGGAGAGTGGCCAGCTGGCGTATCCCTCTTGAAAAACTTCTTACAGAAATAAAAAGCAAACAACCGGTAGTGTTAACAAACAGGGTAAAAGAGTCTTTGCCACTAGATATTGTACACTGCAAACAAACTTCTAATAATGGCACAGGTCCTTTTTTTTTGGTTTAAAGAAGCTTGTGTTACTGTAGTTAATGCAAGAACAAGACCATGGACTTGTTATTCAGCACAAAACAAGTCATCTAGAAGCTTCCACGTCCCAAGGTATCAGTGACTGTTACTACAGAGCTTGGATTCTGTTCTCAGCAAACAGTCACCAAGTAAACAGTGAGGGATCCCTTTTGAAGAGTCCATCTGGAACACAACCACTGAGGTGTGCAAGGCAAATAAAAGTGATGAGCTGCCGGATTTTTTACAGAAGCTTCTTGTTACTAGACTGTCGAGATCTACTGCGGTAAACTGAACACCTCAAGGTTTTAGTCACAGGTGCTGCAGGGCTTCTTGTCCTTGTTCGGTGTAGGAGTCATCTTTATTTGAATTCGACCATTCTCCAAAAGTATCCTGGAAGTGGACGTTTTTCTGTGATGCCTGCATACGTTTCTTATCACGAGAGAAGAAACTAAACCTTCCGGGAAGGGAGGAGTAAGGGAGGGAAGCGAAAAGGAAGAAGACAGTTTACCATCTTGAAAACACTTCAAGTACCCGACACGGTACACAGCACAACAAAACACAGAGCAAAGAAATCCGTTTGCATCTGCAAAAACCAAGGCAGTGAAGCCTGATGGGAGTGCATGTCAAAATGTTATTAGAGATGAAGTCATTGCAATCTCAAGCGGTTTGGCTATGGAAGCTTCAAATAAGCTCTAAATGCTGTTGACTCTACAAGGTGCAGGTATCATTTTAAATGTATATTCCCCCTTCCCCAGCCTTGAGATAAAGAAGCGACACAATACAGGTTAGTTTCTTGGCGTAAGTAAAGTGGTATCTTTGGCATTAAATCTGTATAATTTACCATAAAGCAGAAATAGAGAATGTTTTTAAGGGTGTCAGCAGGGAAATTCATCAGATAAGAAAATAAGCCTCCACATTTCTATCAGGTGTACAGATTTTGATACATAGACTCGATTCCTGCAAAAATAAATGAATAAATGCACGTGCGTGCACAAGAGTTTGCAGGATGAAGGCTCTAAACAAATGCACACAAGTGCGCACGTCATTTCCCGTCACACGGGTTGGGTGCTCAAAGATAATGACGTACGTGAACCAACAGCCATTTAATATGACACCAAATTGCCAGCTGACAACAGAGCTGAAAAAACACACGTGGAAAAAATCCTTAGTATCATCTTCTTTGTACAGGATGAAGTTACTTGGTTAGGCAAATTCCATGTTCGTCATGAGTTCAGGACAAGAGGTGTTAGTGCAGCGTTTAGGTTTGCTGAGAAATGCAAAAGTTGTGGTTCCAGCTACCAAAGGTTTGAATTGGCTGCATACCCTTTGGGTTTTAATGATGCCCTTTAGGAGGTAAATCTTCATTTGCTCGCACAGTACCAAGCACAGTGCGGTTCTGATCCAGGGCGGGAACTGCTAAATGCTTCTACAGTAAGAGACTATGCAAATATAAACTCAACTTTGACAGGTGATGGAATATTTGTCAGGGCATAAAGCTGGCCCTACATCCACGTCCCACCATCCTCAGCGCTCGTCCTCCACCCACACTCCCTGACGTCTCCCCTCGGTACCAGGATCCCAACCGTCTGAGCCGCCTTGTGCAGAGCAGGGAGTTCTGCCTTCAACGTCTCTAGTCGCACAGGAGGCTGTATTTGAGTGTCAGAGGAGGTTTAAGACAGCTTTCCTGAAAAAATATGCTATCATCCGTGCAGGTAAGCATGATGATAATTACTAAGAATATTAAGAATAATTATTTCTTGACTAGAAAGTGACATAAAAAGCTACACAAGTGCAATGCCAGGTAACTAACATTGCTAGCAGGACCTGAACTTTTGCATTTCCTCGCTTCAAATGTGCAGCCTAAATAGTGAAATAAGTCTTTTGCACTTAATTAGCCTCGTACTTTTCTACCACCTTCATCACAGGAGCTCATAAATTCACACACGTATGCTATTCCTTTTCAGGGCCGGATCCAATTCCAGCTGATAAAAGAAGTGTCTAGTCACTGAGGCTTTCTGCTGAGCGTGTTTGGTCCTGCATAGTCAGGCTTGGTATCTTGAAGTCCACACAAAGGACTGCTGTATTTATGCAGTACGTTTCGAAAAGTTCAGTAATTTTTCACTTTATCATGAAATTAGGTAAAAGAAAAATGCATTCGTAAAATCTCTACATGAAGCAGAAGGGTTAAGCTTTTTAAATTCCTTCTGAAACAATGCAAATTGTTCTTATGCCTAGAAAACTCTCACAGAGGACGAAAACTCTCAGAGAGGACGTTTGGAAAAAGCACGTCTGTGTGGAGAGGAAGGGAATTTAAATACCGTGTTGCTGCTGTAAATACAAAGATCACTAAAGCAGCAGTTCTAATGCAAAGAGACTTTACATTAACAATTATCAGTACGTCTTCCAGACACAACGAAGAAAAGAATGACAGAATTGATGATTGAGAGTGTATACTCTATTGCAAAATATATAAGTAGAGACAAAATATACAGTGCATAGATAGAAAGACACGGAAGCAACAGCCTATAATTAACACCGGAAATTAATGTAGATATCAGCCATTATATTTTCTAAATCTAACTGATTTGTAACAAGTCATTAGAATGACATCGGTTTCTTAAAAAGCATTGGTGTGAATTGTGAATAGGCACGTAGTAAGCAAAATTAAGAGATGCTGGTTAAAATTGCATATTGCGACAATTTTCTAAGGAGTAATAATGGTTTAGCATGGTAACATTAAGGCAAAAGGTGATAAATGTCAATACTTGAGGATGAGCATGGAGGACTACGATGAGTTATGCACTGACTGGTCATTCTGATTGGCACTTTGTTCTTCTGTGATCCCACAGGCAGCCGATGAGAATGCAACCAGCAGTGCATGTTAACACAGGGTCATGCAAAAGGAAACCACGGTACCAAACATTTAAAAAATAAAATTCCTACAAGGGACACAAGTCTTCTTATTGGCTGCAATGTGGGATCGTCTGGAATCAATCCAGCTGCTACCATGGGCATTATGGCTGTAAAGATCCTGGTCAGGAAAGTACAGACACAGAAGAGATAAGACTGGAGCAAGGGAAAGAAAAAGCATTCCATTAAAAAGAAAAAGAGGCAAACATGATACACGGGGTTACTTCGAATTACCACACGGGACATGTTACAGGGAGAGGTGGATCTGTATCACCCAAGACAGTTCTCCTCAGTGAAAAACTTATTTAGAAAAAGCAGTCATCGTTGAAACAGTTGAAATTGCTTTTGAATTTCTAAAAGATACCACTTTTCTGTTGTGAGGCAGCCTGCAATCTGGGCTGGATTTCATCAGGGTATTACCACCTGCAGCAATGCAGAGCAGAGTGCACATTTTTCTTCCCGAGAGACAAACAGGCACATACATAATGAAATGGAGGATGAAGGTGTATGTTAAGAAATACAAAACAGGACTCTGCTGTGACTACTGAATATTTGCGCGGAAAACAGGGTTAGACAGGACCAGCACTGCAATTAAAGATTTTACAAATGTTACAGTTGATAGTTTCAAGTTAAAACCCGGTATTACAGGTGAAATCTTGAAATAACTTCCTACGCAAGCTATTTGGTTAAAGGGCCTGTGTATCTGTTCCAAAGGAACCTGCATTGCTTCACATGCAGAAACTGCAGGCAGCTCCATACTTATTTGAAACCTTGCAACTACTCTAGCAGCAACGCTTTCTAGCTGGCTGGCAGCAAGACTGTTGCTTTGTAAGACTTCAGCACTTTTACTACACGTTATACAATTCATGCAACTTAGAGGCTGAGAGAGCACGCTGGCCTGGTGCTCTGCGCCCGGCCAGCCCCGCACAAACCTGCCGACACACCTTCATCCATACCTGGAACACCCTCTGTTTTTCTAAGGATTCTCCTCAGAGGTTCTCCCTTGTGCCAAATATTTTTTTGAACTGTGGACTAATGTCAATTAAAGATTAAGTTGAAATCATGAGAGACATTTCACTTGTGACCAAACGCAGCTCTCCCCAACACAGTCACTCTAACTGCTATTCTTAGATTCAAAATGAAAACAAACGAGCAAGCATTGTTGTATCATCAGCAGTAGCTAGGACTTCTATTTTTATGCATTGTGGCACGGTCCGTTAGCTGCAGAAACGAGACAGACACATCAGCTTTTGTAGACTGCAAGAACAGGAAGAAAACTTATGGCTGTCTCAGGCATTACATCAGTGACAAACAAGCACGTATCCTTAAAGAGAAAACAAAAAGGCGTTTTCTGCTTAAAACAGAGGGAGCTTTTTTAATCCTTATACTTTTCAGTAAAGCCTCCTGGTTACATTATTTCATCAAAACTCTGACATGTGATGTAGTAGAGACAAATGTAGAGATCAATCAGTCTGAGATCAGAACTCAGAGTTTGCCCCAAATGCGCAAACCCTGGGAGTGAAGAAGTGTTGATTTCTGTAACTTGTTTCCTTTCTTTATGGGGATGAAGCACAGAATTGCCTGAGCACATCTTAGATGGCGCAGGCTACGTATACATATGTTTCATTCCCTGAGATGCAGCATGGTCAAGGAAAAAAGGCACGTGACACAGGCAAGCACAAAGCTTCTCTTGAGCGGTTAGCATCAGTGCCGCCTATTTTTGAACCGCTGCTTTTTGTTGAGTCAGAAGGAAAAGTCTGAAACGGAGGGAAAAGCAATCCTACTTTCATTTGTAAAGGCACTCTGTGCGCAGGTATCAGCATTACAAGTTTTCATCACGTCGTTAGGTATGGGCAGTTTACGTGCCAGTGTGTTACCCAGGTAGCCATATAGGGAGATGCTGACAGCACTGGCCTGGGAGAGCGAGAAGGGAGCTCTGGAGAGAGTGGGCAGCAGGCAGGGACTGCAGGTGGGGCAGGAGGGGTGTTATAACAGCACAGAAGAGATGCTACACTTGGATTCTTTGTTTTTCTCAGCAGTGAAATTTCTTGTCTTTTTAAAGCCCATCTACACAACCACTGTTGACAATACACACAGAGAGGAGGGGAGAAAGATAATAAACCCACACTCGACAAATCCTATCCAGACAGGCTGCAAGAATAAGACAAACCTGAAAACTATTACCATCCTTCAGGTTACTTAAGTAGATGGTTTTATCTTCCCTTACTTAATATGATGGCTAAATGAAGAGAGAGCAGAAAGCAAGCTGGGGACAGAGCTGGACAGCTGAAGAAAGCAACTTCATCTGAACAGCAGGTTCAACACGTGCTTTCATTGTCCATCAGACGAGAACCCTTGCCTCTTCTGAAAGGGGCCAAAACAACATGATTTTATGCTTTATTGTGCGTGGTTTTAGTTATATGAGTTTAACACAGAATCTGAGAAAGAGAAAGATTAGACAAGTGTCTGAAAATGTGCATTGATTGAATGGTCTGATGCTCAACAGGTTTTCACTAATAAATTAACTGAGAGGAAGAAAGCACTGCGGTAACTGGTTGGAAACACTTATGTGCCTCCTGCCATGTCTCCCCGTATTGCTTACGCACGTATGCAGAAGGCAGAGTCAAAGTTAATGTCTTGTCAGCATGTGCTCTGTATTACCACATCTATTTACATTTTTATGCTGCTTTTGTTTCATAAATCAAGCATGGAAACTGCAATCAACACAAACTGCATAAACTGAAATCAGCCATCCCCTGCAACAGGATAAGATTTAAAAAGTACTAAAATAAATTTAAAAGAAAAGAGAAACTTTACACTGGTGATCTTATGAGGTGAAGTATTATCATTATCATCACAGTTGCAGAATGAAAACTTAAGTCCAAACTCAAAGTGTATTTTCTACTCATGTAAGTGGAAGGGTTCTCTCAGCAAACAAAGCAGCACAGACAGAAGCTGGAGTCTACTGAAAATAATCAAAAGTGCCCTCCTGACTTTATAGTGTTTTGGATCAGTCCAGATCTTCCAATGGAAGTTACTCTCACAGGGCTGCTGCTGTTATTAAACAAGGACTGAAGGTTATGGACATGGGGACAGGATGGAAGAGCTTTTTCTGTGGAAACAAATGACTGTTCCAAAATCGTTTATGTAGTTAAAAAGGTTAAGCTTCCAGTATCACAAAAATCCAGAGACTTGCTATACGGTTACAAGACTTAATTTGGAATAAATAAATGTACAAGGAGGGAGTTTCAGCAGATAAATGTATTGGCTAACACTGTGATTTTATAATTAAGTGATATACTAGTAAATGCACACCTCTGACAGTAAGCTTAGGTTTTGAACAGCAACATTAAATACTTCACCTGAAAAAAGTGGGGTTCTTTATAGCCAAGAAAGCTGGCATCCTCTCCAGCAGCGAATTTGTTCAGCAAACAAAAGGTTTTCGTGCTGTACACATAGTCCAAGTTGGGGTCTAAAGGCTTAGGTCAACAGGGAAACGGGCACAGCGAGGTCATGGGGAAATCTTGCTCTCCTCACCCAACTGCTGCAGGTCTGCAGCTGGTTTTACTGGCAAAGAACACTCTTTACACGTCTTCCTAGCATGACATGGGGCCAGTGGTTTCTGACACTCCAACCCCTTCACATCTGTGTGTTAAGGAATTAGGACTTGCACTTGAGCAGGAGCATTGTTCCTGCAATCCTTGCACACAGAGATCTGGCACTGACTTCAGTTTTGGGCACACAGGACAGGCTGAGCAGTGCTCTGGACAAGACCACAATTAGCAGCACCACCCTTTGGAGTATGACTACGTGGCCCAGACAAGAAAATTCTCTAGGAAGATCAGGTGTCTGTGTTTAAGAGCTCACCAGCTCATACTGGCTAGAATGAAACATTGCAACACATGCTCTTTCGGTTAGCCTGAATAGTGGACTTAAGAAGGAAACATTAGAACTGGACTGGGCTTCTTGGGCACACCAGTCTGGCCCGTAAACAAAAGCACACGGAGTATTGTTGGGTTCCCTGCTGCTGTCTGCACGTCGGGAGCAAAAGGTGCCACAGGAAATAATCCAAGACTGAAAGTTGACCCAGAACAAGGCAAAAGTTTTGGCCAAAGCCAATTGCTGTTTCATGATACCTGTCAAGCACTCCTTCCATGTCTCTCCCATAGACATTGGGGATGTGGTTATCTTAATTTTTAAATTCTTTAAAATTGTCCTATCCATAAGAAACATTTAGTATTTGCAGGCTATATCCAGTATCTTTGGAAAACATGCTACTTACAGTCGTTTGATTCCAGATTCAGGCTGAGTTGAGGGTTTTGGCTGAATTATGGGTGTAGGTTGAGGGGATCTAGTTTCTTCTTCTATTTCCTCACTTGAAAGAAAGAAAATATAATTAATGTTCTCCTCCCAAGCCACAGAGGTGCTTTAAGTTCTAAAATTCAATCTGAGGTAGCATTGTTGATAAAGAAATGCAAAAAGATCTGTTCCAAGCTCATTGAAATCAATGGGAAATTTTTCTGTCAACCAATGAACAGCACCTAGAACTGGGTGTCCTTCCAATATTTTCTTCCCATTTTGACAAGAAGAGGGAGAAGAAGAATGTACTGCATAAAAATTCTAGAATTTTCATTTTAGACCCACGTTTATCCTCGTTTTTTGAAGTTCAAAAGTATTGAATGTTTGTAATCTTTTGAAGATCAGGGGGAACCTGGGAGTTGGGGAAGTTTTTCCCAATTTTGAGGAACCAGATTGAAACGAAAGTTGTGTGCTTGCAATCTCTACTTTAAGCCTTTGCAGAAATGTGTGCTTGTTGGACACCATTTAAGAGCACATTTATTGTTTCCAGACCTGCCCTATGGCTCCTCTGCGTATAACATGCAACAGGAGAGGCGATCTAACCTACCTTTTGTAATATAGAAGTTCCTCTTGAAGTAAAAACACTTTAGATTTCAATTCATTCCTCTCATGAAGGACATCCCGGAGCTCCTGCAAGGTGAATCTTGGACGATTGGGATCTTTTAAGTCCATTGCCATCTTTTCTGACTCTGAGAGGCAGTCATCATTGTTTGGTTCTGTCTAGGAAGTGAAATGTGGTCTTTAAATTCACCATGCGAGTGCTACATCTGAGGAGTTTAAAGTATTTATAAGTCTAGTTCCCAACCTCTTCCTTTCAGCACTACTAAATCCTCTTTTAAGAGAAACACAGCAATTTTAAGAGGAAAAAACTGTAGAAGGAATTTGGTTTTCATGTTAAAGACTGTCAGCAAGAACAGCTGAGTGATCTGATGACTTTGTTTTTTCCTGTGCTCAGGTTGACGGGTGATACACACAGGACTGGTGAGACTGTGGCAAGCCTCTAAAAGATGATCTGGGTTCTATTTTACCTCTCTTCACCTCGTGTTCTGGGGAAGCTTGCAAACGAGGAAGACCTAAGTGTTGTGATCTACAATCGAAGCCCTGTGCTCACGGGAATCTTTCACAGAGTTACATGTCTGGGAAAACAAACAAGCACCAATTGTTTCTAGCAGGCCTGAACACAGGGTCCAACCTGAGCCTGCTGTACGTTTTCTTGTGGAGAAATTCCTGTGGAATCCAGACTGCCGGAAAGTCCACTGAAAATGTGTAGTCCAATTTTTGATAAACAAGTCTGTTTAAGGAATTAATACTTTTAACGAATGGGGTAAATCAAACATCAGCCTTTTATATAAACACTGAAAAAACTGCACAGCACACATCATGACAGTTCTTCCCAGCTCCTCCCACAAAGAGAAAGCTCCTTTGGATGTAAACATATCAAGTGGAGATTTAAGTTTATATCCCCTTAATGCCTTTATTAAAAAAGCAAGATTGGTGTTTCCACCAAGATATAGCTACAAAGTGGAAGAAAACTGCAGATGAATGCTAGATGAGACTTTTATACACATGTACTTTGTCTCTTCTTTTTCCTCTGAGAAGAGTTCACTGGAAGCTTGGAGGGATTTTATCTCCCACCACCTCATTTCTGTGGCTCCCAACAAGATAGAACTTGCACCCTAGGCACGTGGTTGGATTCCCAGGCCTGTGGGGCCACTTCCTGTCACCTGGATGGACTCTAGCCTTTGGGCAGAACTATTTGGCCCTAACTGCTTGTGAAAATGTGGTCTGTATAAACACAGCACACAGAATATGATCGTTGTGGTCCTCTACTGTTGTACCAGTCAGTGGCTGCACAGAGCAGAGGACCAGTTAATGAGAAATCACAAGCTTCTGGGAAGGGTACTCAGAATCAAGATGCTGAAAAGCAGCGACAAGCCTTCAGAGGTCTGCAGGATTTCTAACAATACAAATAAATGCAGGGCACTCTGTTCCAGCAAAGTACATTTGAAATGTAGCAAAGTACATTTGAAACGTGATGCTTTTTGCAAGGACTGACTAGAAGCCAGCACATGAAATCAGAGACGTCAGCAGCCAGGTCAGCCGCCCGCCCTCCTAGTAGGATGCAGAGATTAGAGTCTCAGAGCTCCTGTGTTGCAGTGACACCTCACTGGGATACAAGCTGGAAATTTGAGGAGCTAAGTACCAAAATTCTTAAGCAGAGTTCCTTTTTTGTAAGCCTGGTCCTACCCTCTTTTGAGCTCATGTGTTTGTGAAACCATTTTGGGTTAATCTTGGCTGTGCTACGGTTGAGCTAATATCAATTTCTACAGCAGGGATTGCAATCCTTGTCCTGCAAAGACAGAGCAGCAGAGCAGTGTTCACTTGTACGTTTGTTTGATTCACCCCATTCATCCAAACACATTGCTTTACACAGACTACAATAAATAAAGATTGATGCAACCTAACAAGAGGTTGAAAGGAAATTACCCAAACACTTTTCCTCTTCTTCAGTCCTCTAGATTAGGGTCTGGGCTGATGCCTCTTCTTTTGGTTGTATATTTGCCCTACACCTTTGCCCAAATACGATATTTTTGCTAGATTTTGCTCAAATCAGCAAGGACCAAGCAGCCTGTAGTCAATGCAAATGTACCTGACTGAAGCCAACAAGCAATGTCCATTGCAGAACATGCAGCTATTTGAGCTTTCTGCTTGCCACTGCAATTCCTGTCTAACCATCATCCTGGCAAAGAGAGTGGGGAATGGCTCTAATTAGAAGAGATGCCATTGCCATGGAACTGATGAGTTAGAGAGAGGTAAAGAATGCATCCTTTATCTCCAGAGACTGAGGACACTTTCACTCCTGCTGGCTCCAGGCCTGGGCTCCACAGCCCCATTGACAAAGCTGGGTGTCCTGGCTGAATTAGCAGCAATGAAATCATCCTTTTCATTATTAATACAGTGCTTGCCCATTTCAGCAGTGACGTGTTAACACAACACTGGCTGTCACATTCCTGGGGGGACCAGCGTACCACATCAGCCTTTGCCTCTGCTCCTTGATGTATATCCCTGCCCACGCTTCACTGCACAAATTCCAGTACGAAGCGAAAGCAGAAATAAGGCCAAAGGTGCCTTCAAATATTTATATGTTGATTTGGTAGCGATAGACCAGCTTAGTTCTGACAGATCAAAAGTGCCATAAGCACTGTGAGGACCAAGCGTGCAGAGTTCTGCATTGCCTCTGGGACCGCTTCTGACACAATTTCTTTTCTACTGAGGTTCATGTGCCACCACCATCATAGCACATTGCACCTTTGGGACACATTAGGGCTTGCATATTTGCATACTCAGAAAAGCTTAAGCTACTTGTCAACTGTTTATCTTTTGGAAAACCCAGGCTGTTTAAGGGATCAGTTTGTTTTCCTTTGGGGGAGGGGGTTGATGGGTACAAACAAAATGAAGCCAAACATACTTATACAGCATCACCAAAACACTATCTGCCTTCAGTACAAACTAACAGCTGATACTCCAGAGATTTTGGCTTGCTTCATGATGTTTTTAACGCTCTCTTTTGAAGCAATGATTTGTTCTGATATCTGGTGAATTCTGTGCATGACCCAAAGGTTGAACTTCCTAGGACATGTGGTGGGTAGCCAAGGCTAAGGAGAGAGCTGTTCTCTAATGCAGGTGTCCCACTGCTAACCTGTGCTGCCACTCTGCCTCTTCTGCGATTGGTCCCCTCCTTTAGGAAGGAGGGGTCTGGTTCCACTGGGTCATCGTCCACCCTAATGGGGCCTTTTCTGTCACAGCACAATGAGTGACATTTCTCTCCGTATGTCACACTGGAACACAAGATGCTGTCCTTGAGTCTCACCATTGCCTCTGATGTGTATCAATCACATTTATCCAAAGAAGAGGTACTTGGTACGAGGTCCAAAGCTTCTTAAAAGGCTGCTTAAAAAGTGATTTAAAGTGCCTCTTACCTTTACTTCCTCCCCATTTTGGCTGTCCTCACCCTGCAGTTTTTCTCTCAGTTTCCCCAGCTCTGCTCGCAGGTTGCCCATCTCCTGCTCCTTGGTTTGCAGATATGCTTCTAACTCCACCTTCTGCTCTATCAGCGCCTTCCCCTGAGCCTCAACAACAGTGATCCGGTGCCGCAGGTCATGGTTAATTTTCATTAACCTGTTCTGTTGCTGCTGAAGCTGCAAAACATTGATGCAATAGGTCAGCGTCCATTCAGCCACAGTGGCCAAGTCCCAAACATCATGTTGAAGAAAAAGTAGTGGGTTCCTGTTGAATTTAACTTGAAAATTCTCCCCCCTCCTCATCCCCAGATTAGTTTTTTTAAATATCTAATTATCTACTACAGTTGCAGTCACCAAAATTTAATTGGTTTCTAGAGTAAAGAGGCACTGTTGCCCTAGCAAAGGGAATTCTTCAACTAAAAGCAAATCCATCACTTCTGATATTATGTTTTGAAAAAGCAAAGTTCAAGGACACGGTGGCTTATGGGATTCTGAATCAAATCTTAACCCAAAGTAGAAAAGAGAAAGACAAGACAGAGGAATCCTTACTATTCAATTCATATTATAAGTACTTTGCTTTGAATTCTTAGGCTCTCTCATAAGGTAGGATATGACCTGCTGGGCATTGCATGGACAGCACCAACTTGAAAGGCCACAGCACCTGCCAGAGGCACTTGGGTAGAGCAGAGATCATCCAGGTCTGGCCCTTGCTAGCACCAGAGAAGTCCCATGGCCTGAGGAGATGAGGCAGTGTGAGGATGGGAAGCAAAATATGGGTAAGGAGGTCATTCCTCCTGACACAGAAAGAACTAAGACATCATGTCATTCCCAAAGTCGCAGTGGAGCCTGTGATTCATCTAAGACTAAACCCGGATCTCTTGTGCTGTGGTCCCCAGGGCCACCCAACCTCTCAGTGACCTTCTGCTCACTGCTGGCAAACCTAAGTGACCTGGGCGGGACTTAGGCCCCTTCCTCCTACCCCCTTCCTGTGCAAAGAGGTAATCCATATTGTATCACTGGTGTGGGAGTGCGTGTGTGGGGTCCCTGCTGCCACACTCTGCAGAGAGTATATGTAAAATATACAGTGCTGAGGGAGTTTGCACTGCCAAAGCAGAGAGAGATTCAAAAAGCCAAAGAAAGCTACCTGTCCTGTTCCCATGAAAGGGGAGGGGTATCAGCTCTCTAAGGAAACAAACAAAATAGCCTGTCCTTCCCCATCTTCCCCTCTTGTTACACTGGTTTCCAGCCATGTTCCAAGTGTGCCTGGTCCTTCTGAATGCAGCAGAGGGTGTGTGTCTGCACTGAAGACTGCCTAATCATTTTGGACACTCCACAGTTATGCGAGATGCTTCAGTTACTGGACTAATAATCTGGCATTGCTGAAAAATTCTACATTAACTTAAACCTTGAAACCAGGCTATGGAAGTATGGGTAAGAAAGAAGAGAAACAGGAAGACTAAGAACCACTTACAGCCTCTACATCCTCATTTTTAAGCCCGAGTTCCCGATCCTTTGCTCTGATTTCATCCCTCTGTTTATCTACCACTTCCTTCAGCTTCTTCATGACTTGTCGCTCTCTCTCTGACATTCCTGGTTAAAAAAAGAACACGAAAAACAAAGGACAATCAAGAGCTCTGAGACTGAGAACAATAACAGTGAGAAATATTTAGGTAAAGACTCTGGAAGTTGCCTGCTGGTAGAATTACAGAGAAGCTGTTGGAAGATGCTTTGAAAGTTAATTCAAGGGTAACAGGGAACACAGATGACACAATCTACTCCATAAATCCACAGCACAATAACTCCTTAAGAAAAGAACTGATGGCCTCAGAAACATTTATAGCAGTGGGGTGACACTGTTATATCTTGCTGCCTCAGTGTTCAGACGATGCCCCAGGGAGCTTGGTTATCTGTGTGATAATCTGTAGAATCAGCTGGCCAAGACCCTGCGAAAATTGTAAAAAAGGTGGTCGGGATCCTCAGCAAGATCTAAACAACAGGTCACTATTGTCGATTGCATCTAGATCCAAACCAGCTGAGGTGCACTGGACTAGAACGATTTTATGCTGAAACCCAGTTTTGTTGGGTTAAAGGGAAATGAAGCAGGACCTTCAAAGGGTACCCCCACCCTGAATCTAGAAACAAAATTTAGTCTAGATTATGGTCACATGTTTTCTCCTCATGTTTCGCAATCCTTTCCCCATCCTATTGTGTGATAATTCATATTTAGAAGAACTGTACTTCAGAGAAAAATACTACATGGCATTTCACTTGTGAAAGATGTTTGGAACATTGCCAAGAATCTAACATTGATCCTGTTTGAAAATAAATAAAGGATTAGATTAACCTGAGATCTGACCAACAAATCATTAGGAAATGTCATAATCACAAAACAAGGAGCATTCTTCCATTATTTACCATTATGGAGATAATCAAGAACTCCTGGCACTACAGTGATGAGCTCTTCAGAGCAAACACAGACCAGATGGTTGAACTCAGTGAGATGATAAATCTACTACACTAACTTTTCCTGATCACTGCACAGGGACATGCAGTTTGATGGTCCTAAACTATCACATAAAATCACATTGCACAACATCCCATAGGATGGCTTGAAGATGAAAGGCTGTGACCAGGGCAGTGTGTGGCTGCTCTGGCCAACGTCCAGTCCAAGTTGGAACTCAAACCCAGGGTCTACTGTTGTCTTGTTCTATTACCTTTGGCAAAGTAGCTATTTGGGTCCTCAGCTTCCTCCATCTATGAATGCGAATGGTGACAGTTCACTCACCCCTCTGGGGTGGCTGGAAAGCCACTTCCTTTTTAATATATTAAAGAGGTTCCCACATCCTACATCAGAAATATGCTGCATACACATCAGATGTATCCAACCAGTCAAGTCTCTACTTTCTAACATCAGCTCAGACTTTCTAGTTATGTTCTTCCCTCATCAGAGAAATCCAAAGGTGCGCCCGTAAGAGAATGTAGGCTGTATGCCTTTAGGAACTTCAGCTCACGGAGTGTCTACAGTTTGAACTGATGGATAATACAATACACCAAGACAAACCTGAGAGAGAGAGACAGAGAAAGGGAGTAACTTTGGTGGATGTGCACTCCTGTGGGTTTCCATGCAGGTATAAAAAGTGTACTACTGCAAACAGAGGGAACAGCAGCTCCAATACCTGATTGCTAAAGGACCCAGAATCTCCCAGAGCTCTGGTACAGCAGAGAACAGGTAACCACTCTGCTGGGAAGGGGACTGTGGTGACTATGGCCAGCTGAGAATTTGGTCATGGTCCCGCAAACCCCAGAAAACAGCTAAGAGTGACATGATGTTCACATTCTGGTATTGCATTCTCAATTTTTTTAATTCTGTGGTAAGTCTGCTTACTCTATTTCTGGACCCTGGTCCTTATCATCTCTTTACTCTAGGTTCTAGCTCTTTTTAGGATAATTTTAGTTCTTCACTGTGATTACAGCTCATACCCACCAGAGGCGACAAGTAGACAGTGACACATATGGCTACTTAACTCTTCTACAGGGCCCACACCTTGCTATCACAACACAGGGCTGATGCACTGCTGTATCCACAAACCCCACTACAGGTTCTTGGATCCACCCTCTGCAGCCAGTTTCAGGGCTGGGGCCTGATGTTTTCATCAGCTGTGCTTAAAAACAAACAAACAAAAGAAAAAATCCAAAACTTTGCCTTGAAAGTACAGAGGGACTGCAGTGAAACTTTAGACTGGTGGTTTCACCCCAGTAGGAACTAGGAATAGTGAGTGCAGCTATATTCATTAGTACTTGTGAGATACTTTGAGATCTCTAGATAGCAGGTGCTATTTCAAGAATAAAGTACCATTTCAGTGCTGAGTGCTTTTCCTCCCACTGCACTCGTTTTTCTCTCTAACACTCGGTGAGCATAAAAGACTTTGATTGTGTGCACAGATCACTCCATTATCCTTTTTATTTCAGGAGGAGGGGAAAGGAAAGGTGGGAAGTATTTGTGAAACAGTCACATCTCCCATTTCCTCAGGCACTGGGGTAGAGGAGAGGGAAATCGCTCAATGCCCTAAATGTAAAGTAATTATCTCTAAATGATTCAAAGTCTAATATCTGCAAGATCTTAAATGGCACACCCAACTGGCTTCCCTAGGCACATCCTATGAGCAGCTTCCTGTGAATTGCTTTGATCATAGCATTGTTTGAGCAAGAGAAAGGAAAGCAGCTGAAAAAAAGAAAAAAAAAAAAGGAAAAGAAGCAACACAAAAAAACCACCCTTCCTTATGTTTCCGTTTAGGGACCTGTTTATTGTTGTGTTTATACAACTTCTATCAAAACGGGCCAAAGTGCCAGTCAGGGCCTGTGGCACTATTCCACTGCCTAAATACTCAGAATAGAAGTTTGCCTCCACTTTTGAAAGGGAACTGTAGGTTCCTCAGCACAAGAGGTTCACGCAAGAGTTGACATCCTGCTGCTTGCCCGTACTACCACAGCCAGCCTGAGAGCAGCTCCCCTCGCTGCAGTGCAACAGCAGCCTGTTTGTCCTGTTTGACACACACTGGGTCAGGTTTGCTCGTGGCATATTACTAGGATATTCCAATCAGTCAGCACCATCAAGCAGTGCTCAGTTTGAGCTTGGGAGGAGTAGCATTAATGGATGTTGCAGACTCACCTTTAACCCCTCCTGTGTATTTTGTATTCTGCCGCATGTCCTTCTGCTCTGCTCAGACTCGAAGCGGCTGCAGAACACTCCTGTTTAGATAGGATTGCATCTGCCTCTCTCATAAACACCCTCATTCTGCTAAAGTGGGGCTCTGTGAACTCTCATGTGACTATTAATTGGCAAGGATTGAAGCCCAAAGTCTTGCACACCCAAATCACTGGCCTCTGTTGCCTGTACTAAAAATAACTCCTTTAACTGCCTGGTGAGTGAGCAGCAAGCTCTTAATCCCAGGGGCTAGCCGCTGAGGGGAGACATGATCACAATACTAAATCGTGCTGAGATATGAAGACTGGAGTCTGGTCAAAGTTAGTCCAGCTAACAAAGTATTCAGCTTGAAAACCTGCCTCTGTAGACTCTACGTGCATCAGATCAAATGATGGAGACTGAAAAAAAGCAGTGTGACTGCTTTTTGGCACTATCCAAACAAGTAATTTGAGACAAATCTATCCCCATTCATTAATGATAAAATTTCCTAAGAGGAAAACAGTTGTGTTTGATATAATAGGTCCTAGTAATAAGATGGGGTTGCTAGAAATTAATGTGATTTGACTTAAACTGGTGATTTTGGCCAAAGAATATGAGTGGTCCCAGAATATGATCTCTGGGATGGATTTATGGGTTTTGTTTGTGTTATTATACTTGGGCAGACACAGTAAAAATAACATGGAAAGCATGCCTGGCATTTGCTTGGCTAGCCGAATGTGAAGAGTATGGCTATATTTAAATACAAGCACATGAGCTGCAGTGAGCTAGATACCCACTGGAAGGGAAAAAAAAAAAAAAAAAAAAAAAGAGAAAACAAAGGGGAAGTTAGTTCTTTATAACAAGATGTCACAGTCTTCATGGTCCATGACTCATCACTGCCATTCTGAAGTTTTGCATGGAGTTTGTAAGGCTGATGTTGAGTTATTTCTTTGCCACTAATTCACTCCTAAATTAAAAGCATTGCATTTGTTTTAAAAAAGTGGTGGGTGATCTCCAGAGGTTTACCAGTTTTTACATTTTGAAGATTTCATTATACTCCTCCCCAAGGCAAGTGAGCAGTACTCAGCCTTTGGGAGAAAGCAAGCGCAACTTCTGCAGTGTTGGACGGAGACTCATCCACCTACAGCAAGCTTCCATTTGATCCCAACCTCCAGTGAACGGAAAAGAATACCCCTTTGTTCCTAATGCTTTACTGGAGAGCTGCAATGGCTCAGCTGTGTGGTCTTGTTTTCAGACTGACCAGTGACTTTGCACACTACACACAGGATCGCTTTTGAGGGAGCCATGACTTTACTGAAGATCAGAACCTCCTGTGAAAGTGGAGCTAGGGCTTGAAGCAGTGGACTAGAGTCCTGTCCATGTACAAATAGTTCAGAAAGCCACCCACTTCCAGACTGACTCACCATCACAGGCAGGTTTTGCTGCCAGAGTGACGCTGTTACCAGTCTCAGCTGTCTGCCCCATGCCCCAGCCCAAGGCTGCCTCATCCTGAAAGCTGCACAGTCATTTTTTTCAACTCCTCAGTTTAAACCCAAGCAATGGACTCCGTATCCAGCAGCCTCAAATTATGTGCTATGAACGGTGGAGCAAATAGACAT